AGAATGCTGCTAGGGTGGAGGTGGAACAGTCCAGAGGATCTAGAGCAAAATCAGGAGAAAATAATTCAGAGAGCTAATTATAGGATGAGACAGTGAAGTACTGTACAGTGAGGTATAGTAGTATAGCTGGAATCCGACAGCCCAGCACAGCATCACGGAATAGATAGCAGAGGACTCCACAAAATCAGCTCACATAGTGTCCCCCACACAGGGCTTGGAAACCTTGGAATTGGCCAGTACAGGATGGAAGATGAGGCCAAGAACCTGGCTTGAATTCCCAGAGCCCCAGAGCCCTCTGGTCCTTCCTGATGCCAGCATTCTGTCCCTTGATGCTGATTCTCACTTTGTGGGTCCAGGTGGTGGAAGGCTGTGATGCAGGGTCTTTAGCTTAGGTACCTGAGTCTCAACTTTCCCAGGGTGTGTCTATGGGGCTTGTCAAGGGATTCTGATCAAACCCTGAAACTTGTCTGGGTGGACACCTACCCACCCCACCCATTGCAGAACCTGCCTGGAAAGCAGCAGACACTGAGACACTGTAGGAATCATGGAACCATAGTTAGGGAGCCTGGGGATGTGTGCTCAGGAGCAAGTCACTTCCCCTGGCTGGGCCTCAATTCCCTCCCTTGAACATGAAGCTTCCCTCCAGGGCTAAAGCTGCATGAATCCATCATTCCATGAGAGATTTATTAAAGAGTACCAGTGACATCATTGGGTGATAGCTTTACTTGCTTATGACTTAGATTTAAGTGAGTTGCACAAAGTTATGTATGAAAGACAATAGTGTTCAAAGATGAGAAAGGTCAGAAGAGCCTCTGTTGTGAGGGCCCTTAAATGATGAACAGTGGACTTTAAATTTGATTATAATAAATTTTAACTAATAAATAGAATAACTAGCATTTCTAAAGCACCTACTATGTGCCTGGCACTGTGCTGTGCGCTTTACAATGATAATCTCACTTGATCCTCCCTCCCTGGGAGGGAGGTGCTATTAATATCCCCATTTTACAGTTGAGAAAGATGAGGTCAAGTGATTTTCCCAAGTTTGCACAGCTAATAAATATCTGAGGACAGATTTGAACTCAGGTCTGTCTTTCTGGCTCAAGGCCCAGTGTTCTATCCACTGAACCTCTTGGGGAGAATAGAAAGCCATTGGAGTTTATCAAGTGGACAGTGGGGAGGGGGAGGAGATGGTGACATGGGCAGACACAGGAGAAGCTTAGAATGTGGAATGACATACTTAACCCCAATTGCCTCACTAAAAAAAAAGAAAAAGAAAAAAAGAACATCTAATGACAGACCTGGGGGTGGGAGGCAGGAGAAGATTATAGGCTGTGTGAAGAAAAGAACACTGAGTTTGAAGTCAGGGGACCTGGATTCAAAGCCAAGTCCTGGGGGGAGGTGAGACACATCAGTGAAGAAGGTAAGAAACGGCACAAGTAACTATGATACAAAATAGTGAGTAGTTGTTTTTGTCCAGTACCTGGCACTTGATAAATGTTTATCGAATGAATGAGAAGTTCAGTCAAAATGCCTAATAAAAACTTGAATGCAGAGGGAGCAGTTCTAGCTAGAAAGGATAAGTGAAAGCTTTACAGGGAAAGTAGTACCTGAGGTTAAATGACAGGAAGGGTTTCAACAGGAAAAGCTATACCTCCCCTCCCTCTGGGATCTTCACAGTTCTCTGGACTTACAGTACTACCATGGAGAGGAAAGTCTGCAGGGTTACTATAAAGATAAGAAGTCCACCCCCTAGTAACCTTCACCTCCCCCAGGGACATATACAGATCTCCCACTTATAGTACTACCCAGGAGTTGAAGTTTCCCTAAAATGGAAAGCTCTCTCAAGGTCACCAGAGTTCCTCAGACTTCCACAGTCCACATAACTCACATTACCAGTGAAGGAAAAGGTCTGGTTTTGCTCTTTTACATCGTGGTTCTGTTTCTTGCCATGATACTCCATCTTGATCTTTGTACCTGTGTACTGGTTGTCCCCCAAGGCTGGAATGCTACCCCTCCTCATCTTTTTCACTTTCTTCATGACTCAGATCAAATCTCCCTGTCATCAGGATGCCTTTTTCTGGTCTCTCTCCCCAGCCTCACCTCTAGCCCCAATCCCTTCCCTCTGGGATTACTTGCTATCAATTCTGTTTGCCCATGTATATGACATGTTGCACACACACACACACACACACACACACACACACACACAGACACCACCTTGAGAGCAGTCAGTGTTTTACCTTTCTTTGTATTCCTAGTTCTTAGCCACACATCATGAGTACTTAATCAGTGCTTAATGACTAACTAAGCTCCTTCACTCCTTTGATATTACCTGTTCCAAGGCCCCTCCAAGCTCTGACATTCCCTATTCTAAGGTATCTTCCAGTTCTGACATCCCCTGTTCTAAGGCCCATCCTAATCTTGACATTCTATATTGCTGTGTTTGTCTGTGAAGTGTGGAGGCTTATTCCTTCTGTTCTAAGTCTGTTTTGCTGTGAGTCGTGAAATCCATAGATAGAGGCATTTTCAGATGCCTTTAAATCTATCATGGAAGAGGGGCACACACACACAAATGTGGCAGGGTAGGATGGCCTGGTGAGAACTTGGAACAACACAGTACGGGCTTCCTTTCACTTCCCCATACCTCATGCAAAACACACAGCCCTCTGCCCAAGGGGAAAATAGGGTACTAAGGAGCCACCCCTCCTCCCCTCCCCATTGACCACTGGTACCTAAAATATTCCCATTTGAGCCCTGCCACTGGAGGGCATCACAGGAAGGCTGTGGTAGGGGGAGAACCAGCTGGCTGACTCGATAGGGCCCAACACACACAACTCCCCGCTCCACTGGGACCACCACCACAGCAGAGTTGAGGACTAGCACCTTTGGTGTCCCGCCCACCACCCAACTCTCACGTGTCCTTCCAAGAAGCTGTAGCTTACATAGTAGCCACACCCTGGTAAAACCTTCCTGGCAAGAGTCAAATCAGGTTGAGTGGCAACAGATCTCAAGCCCATTGGTGAATTAGGGGGGTGTCTACCCCAAACATATGAGAACTTCTCCTGGCGGCATGGGCAGATGAGAACAATTTGTTCCAATGGCCATGAAGGAGGTTGAATACTTAGAGCTTGGTCAGACATCAAAGATGCCAAGGTCATCCGCTGCATCCCAGGCCTTTGCCAGTCATCTTGATTTTTGTCCTGCCACTGGACTTAGATGACTCTGGAAGAGAGAGTGAGGCTAATGACTTTGTGCAACTCTGCTTCACTTAAATCCAATTCGTGTATGAGTCAGGACATGACCCATGATGTCATTGGTCCTCTTCAAAAGGAAGGATGAGCAATAAAGCTGCCATGGAATGATGGACTTGTGCAGCATTAGCCCTGGTGAGAAGCTTCCTGGCCCAGCCAGGGGATGTCACCTGCTCCCGTAGACCTGATCTGCACACGTGCACAGAGGCCCAGCCCAGCCTAGGGGCCAGGGTTTCAGAGCATAGGCACACTCTGGGCATGTTTGTCATCTTTCCACCATCACACCCAAGGGAAGGTTCACCCTTTTTAATTTGAACCTCCTGAGAGCAGAGAACTTACTTCCCCCTCACTCCTCTAAGAGGTAGCAGAGAATGGAGACTCTGTGTCTCCTATCAGAATGAAAGCTCTTGTAAGGACTATGGCCATGACATTCTGTGTCCTCAGTCCAGAGCTTCCCAGGCTGCGTTTACTCCCTCCCCTTCCCATCTCACATTGTTGTTTGTCCTTCATTCTCAAAGAAAACCATGGCATCAGGAAGGGGATGCTATAACATGTAAGTGAATTGAATTCGAGTGAGGGAGGGCTGTGCAAAGCCACCAGACACACTTTCTCCTCCAGAGCCATCTGGATCCAGTGGCCAGAAATGGATCAGGATGACTAAGGATGACCCAAGATACAGCAAGAGCAGGAACTCTCTAAGGCCAGAGACTATGTCTCCTCCTTCCTCTGCATTCCTCTTATACCATCTAATGCAGAACTCAGCCCAACAAAGACTTACTGAATGTTCTTCTGTTTAAGAAGCACACCTCTAAGGGGCATCTTGCCCAGGGAGTGCCTCTGGGAAGACAGAAAAGTTCTGGGATGGGAATTTGGGTTGTCCTGGAGAGCGATCTCCAAGATAATAATAACATTAATAATAATAATGATAGCTAGGATTTCTATAGCACTCTAAGGTGGCAAAGCACTTATGTATGTATGTATGTATATATATATATATATACACACACACATATATATACATATATATACACACATATAGAGAGAGGGAGAGACAGAGAGATACACAGAGGGAATTGGGTGGGTGGGACAGTATTTGTGAATGAAAGTGACATTTATGTCACTATGTTACTGGGTACTAATTCTGCCTTTCATGTTTATTAGCTGTATGACCATAGCCAAGTCTCCTCCCTCTTTGAGCCTCATTTTCCCCATCTGTAAAATGGGAGTGGTAATAACTGCCATACCCACATTACAGAGCTGTTGTGAGGATCAGATTAGATTACACATGAAAAGGACTTTGTAATCCACAGTGTTATAGGAATGTTGGCTATTAGCTCCATGTGTTTATGTGTAGTGCATGTGGCAATGTGTGACTGTGTGTAAGAGTGTACTTGACTTCTGCATTGGGTGGTCTGTGTACATATGTTTGGGGGGAGGTGCAAGTGAGCAGGATTTTGTGGTTTAAAGATCTGAGAAATGGGAGCTGAGTCCTGGGGAGGCCTTCCCTGGGAGGCAGAGACCAATCTTACCTCTTGTGTGTGTGCACATGAATGTGGGATGTCTGCTCAGTCTGTGGGAGTGTGTGGGGGGAGATCTCTGTCTGGTACCTGGTTGCTCTGTTCAGAGTTTCAGACTTAGCCTAATTTCCACCCACCTCTGTCCCCCTCCCCCAGTCACCACAGGAAGTGGGCTGAGCCTGGGGGATTTTTAGTCTCTGCCCAGGTAGCTGTCTTTTCATAATTGGAGGCCCTGGTCCAGGCCAGTGCATGGAGCCCTTAGGGCAGAGTGGCAGGCTGCTGACAAGGTCCTGCCTCCCTCCTCAGGCCACCTAAGGGACAGTGACCTCTCCCCTCTGGGAATCCTCTCTCATCCTAAGAAATCCCTGCCTCAGAGTGTGTTTTTGCCCCCTCTGGTGGCCCTGGTAGGGGCTGTGTCCCTGAAAGAGGCAGCAGAGGGGGCAGCTAGTGATGCAGAAGGTAGCGGATCCTGGAGAGCTGGAGGAGGTAAGTCTGGGGCAGGGAGCCTTCTGAAAGAGAAGAAAAAGATGAGGAAGAGGAGAAGCTGTGGGGCAGAAGTGATGGACCTTGTGAGAGGAAAGAGAAAGAAAAGGGAGGTGTAGGGAAAGAAGTGCCCAGGGGTCCGGGGCATTGTGGTAACACAACAGCATTGAATTTGGAATCAAATCTTGCCTCCGATACTATTTAGGACAAGTCCTTCTACCACCCTGAGCCTCAGTTTCCTTCTCTGTACATATATAGGATTTGGAGTAGACAGAAATGTTAGGATTTGAGTCCATTTTAGAGAGGTCATTGATATACTAGAAAAAGCATTGATTCTAGAATCGGAGATCCTAGGTTGGCCTCTGAGCTCCCTACCAATTCTCTTATAATCTGGAGGGTGTTCAGGAGAGGGAAAATATGGCAATGATGAGGCGGAAGCTGCTGCCATATGAGGATGGGTTGGAGGAACTGAGATGCTGATTTGGAAGGGAAGACTGAGGTGGGGGAAGGGGGATTCTGAGAGCCACCTTCAGATATCTGGAGGGCTGGCTGTCCTGTGGGAGATGGGTTCCATTCATTCTGTGGCTACAGGAAGCAGAATTAGAAGGAGTGGGTGCAAGTTGCAAAAGGGTAGATTTTGGCTTACATTAGGAAACTTCCTAACCGTGAGAGCCGTCCCAACGTGTAATGGGCTGCCGGGAGAGGTGACGGCTTTCCTCTCATTAGAGATCTTTGAGCAGACTGAATGAGCACTTAGCAGGTGTGTGGTGAAGGGGATTCTTGGTCAGGAATGGGTTGGACTGGACGGCTACTGAAACGCCTTTCAATCTCTGAGATCTTCCGAGGCTATCATCTCTTAAGATCCATCCAGCCTTTCAGTCTGTGTTCTTATGTCCTCTGTTCCTTTGGGGGAGGGACCTTTGAAGTAGGCAAGAACAGAGGCTATGGAGCTGGGGAAAGTGGGAAGTGGGGACATGGATGGAGCAGGGGGGAGAAGGATAAGCGACCTTTGGAAAAGAGGGCTACAGTGGAGAATAATAATGGAGATGTTGAGGGACCAGGGAAAGGTTATGGGCCATGAGAAAAGGGAGGGGCTGCTAGGGGCTGCTTCCCAGCTAAGGAGGGGGTGGATGGTAGGCACATATATAAGCAGTTTCATTCTGACACATCTTTCCCAGCAGTAAGACAGATCTGGGTCCCCGTGGGCGAGAGATTACTATCCACTGTTTTTCTTCTCCTTTTCTCTGGGGACAGCCAGATGGGGAAGTGGTCGCCTTGGAGAACAGGTGAAGAGAATGCTTCCAGATCCCTCCCTCCAGATTCCCTTCCTTGTACCCTGACACCTGCCTTTCCCTTCCTTCTTAGAAGAATGAGGGAGCATCTTGTATTCCCCTTCTGAGCCTGTGACTGTTGAATTGTCAGGGGGTGTGGGGGGAAGGCAGAGGGCTTGTGTCTGTCTTTGTGTTTCATCACATGAGATCAAAATCTATCTCTATGACTCAAGATTCCCCCACTCCTAATCCTTCCTCTTCACCCCGTAGAAGTCTGGGGGTTATACTGTCATAGGATACCACAGTGATCATGGAGTTCATATCTCTCATGTTCAAAGGAGGAAACTGTGCCCCAAAGAGGGCATGTGCTTTGTTTAAGGTCACACTACTAGTAATTATGAGAGCTAGGTTTTGAAAAAAGCTAGGACTGTAATCTCCCAATGAGTCAGCTCTGCAGCTGAGCAGCCTCCAAAGCTGATGCCTTCCTTGGCCACAGGAAGTGTCCAGAGCAAGGGAGATGCTATTCCTACTAAGCTGTGCCCCAGTCAGCCCCATCTGGAGCATGGCTTCTGTCAGTGATCACCCTGAGCACGGCCAGGGGAGAGCAACCAGGATGGTTCATGGCACATCCATATGGACTGGTTAAAGGAACTACCCCTGATGATGATAAGTTTGTGAAAGGGGGGGGAGGACGTGAGAGCTGTCTTAAAGTATTTGAAGGGCTGTCACTGGCGAGAGGGATCAGACCATTCTATTTGGTGCCACAGGACAAAAATGGAAGAAAGACACCAATTCAGCTTGAGGGATGTTGTAGATGGCATTCCTAGGCATTCCAAATCTGCTGTTTTTCCATGATACCTCAATGCCTCCCTTCATTCAGCTGCCAAGAAGAACAAGAGTTAGACAGCCTCTAAGAGCCAGGTAGGAGGTGAGAGAAGGCTGATGGGGTGGGGGAGGGAGATAATGTAGTCTGAAACTCATTCCCCATCATTAGGACCTGGGGAGGCAAGGGGCAAGACACTACTCCTCTCTGAGCCTCAGTTTTCTCATCTGTTAAAAAAAAAAGCAGAGTTGGATTCAACATCTTCTAAGGTCCCTTGTAGTTCTAGATCATTTAATCAGTCTCCTTATTGGAAAAATAAAACTGTGTACTAGAGAATCTTTAATGTCCCATCCAGCTTGCAGGGGAAGGTGGACTTAGAGAGAAGATTTCACCTTGATGCAAAGCAGAATAGTCTAACAATGGAACCCACTGCCTTGCAAAGAAGTCTTCATGCAAAGAGATGGTTTCAAGGGAGATCTGGTGCTGGGAGGGAAGTTGGGTCTCTGAGGTGCCTCTGAAGCCGAGATCCTGGGATTCCATGAACCTAAGCCAAGGGGAGAAGGATCCAGCTTGCCCAAGGTGTCCCATTGGATTAGGAGCAGAGCAGAAGACCAGCTTATCCTCTAGCAGCTCGAGCAGGAGGTCTAACATGGGCGCCAGTTTTCAGAAAAGACATTGAGAAGCAGTGTGTGTCCCAAAGAGATGTACTCCATATCAACAATGTTGAGCCGTGGGCTCACTGCAATTTTCTGCCTTTGGATACACACACACACACACACACACACACACACACACACAGCTCTGTTATTGTTGCCATTTCAATCCTATCAGACTCTTCATGACCCTATTTGGATTTTCTCGGCAAAGATACTGGAGTGATTTGCCATTTCCTTCTCCAGTTCATTTTACAGATGAGGAAACTGAGGCAAACAGGCTTAAGAGACTTACCCCAGGCCACACAACTAGTAAGTGGCTGAGGTGGATTTGAACCAAGGTCTTCCTGACTCCACGTCCAGTGCTCTATCCACTATGTCACCTAGTTGCCCCCAAAAGCTCTGTAGGTCTTGCCCCTAAAACCTCACTTCCCCTATCCTTGCTATAAGGACCCTTAAAATATAGAAGTCAAATTAATTCAACAAGTATTAAACAACCACTTGTTTCAGGAACTGGGGATACAGTGACAAAAACCCAACACTACTCCTGCTCTCAAGTGGCTTGCATTCTATTGGGGGAGTATAATATGCAGAGAGACAAGTAAATACAAGGTAATTTGAGAAGAATGAGTTACAAGCAGGGTTAGGAAAGCCATTCAAAGCAGGTGGTCCTAGACATGAGCCTTGAAGAAGGGTAGGGATTTCAGGAGGCTAGGTTAATGAGGGACAGCATGCCAGGCATGGGTGACCACCTACGAAAAGGAAGAGGCAGGGATGGAATGTTGAGTTCCAGAAAGAACTTTGTCTGGGACAAAGTATTCATGAGGGTGGGAATTGTTTGCCTTTTGTCCTTGTATCTTTTTATTTTGTTTCGTTTGTTGGAGGGGGGGAGGGGGAGATAGGGTTAAGTGGTTTGCCCAGGGTCAGACAGCTAGTAAGTGTCTGAAGCTGGATATGAACTCTGGTCCTCCTAACTTCAGGACCAGTGCTCCATCCACTGAGCCACAAAGCTGCCCCATCTTTGTATCTTTAGGACCAAACAGAGTGACCTGGACACAGGAGGTGCTTAATAAATGCTTGTTGATGGTTTGATCAATGAAGGGGAATAGCATGAAATGTCAGGAAAGATTTGCAGGAGTCAGATTGTGCAGGTATTTAAATGCCAAACTAAGGTGTATATTTCATCCTAGAGACCATAGGAAGTCACAGAAGCTTCTTAAGCAGGGATGTGATATGGTGAGACCTCTATTTTGGGAAGATAAATTTTGGTAGCGTTTGGAGATTGATTGGGAAGGAGAGAGATGATTTAGGGAGATCGACTATGGCACCAATCTAGGTGAGAGATCAGAAGCCAGGAGATGGAGTGGTGGCCACGTGAGTAGAGAGACGGGTAAAGATGTTATGTGGATCAAATCGGTGAGCTGGCAGTTAGCTGGCAATGGGGTGGCCAGATGAAAGAGAGAGAATTAATCTATCAACAAGAATGAGTGAAGTGGCTGCTATGTGCCAGAGTGTGCTAGGTGATGGAATACAAAGACAAAAATGAAATAGTCCCTGCCTTCAGGGAGTTTACATTCTAATGGGGAAACAACATGTGCATAAATGAGCATATCAAAAGTAAACACAAGCTCACTTTTTTGTGCCTGGGCAGTGGGGCTAAGGAGGGATCAAGAAAGACTACTTATGGAAGACAGCACTTAAGAAGAGTTTTGAAGAAAACAAGGGATTTTAAGAGGTTCAGGTGAGGAGGGAGAGGGGACAAACATTTATTAAGCACCTACTGTGTGCCAAGCACTGTGTTAAATGCTTTACACAATGACCCTGGGAGGTAGATGCTATTATTTTTCCCATTTTACAGATGAGGAAATTGGAGCAGACAGAGACTATTTGACCTACCCAGGGTCACACAGCTAGTAAGCGCCTGAGGCAGAATTTTAACTGAGGTCTTCCTGACTCCAGACCCAGCACTCTACCCACTGTGCCACCTAGCTGCATTCCAGGCCAGGGAATGGAAGGAGTGGCAGCCAATGCAATGTCATGGTGATGGGCAATAATATCTTGTCTGAAGAGCTGCAAAACCAGATTGGCTGTGATGGGAGAGTGTGGAAAGAGAAGAAATAGACATAATCAAGTTGAAACTGATTTGGGGCCCATTTGTGTTGGGCTCTAAAAACTAGAGGGGCTCCTATCTGATCTTAGGGGCAATAGGGAGTCACTGGAGTATAATGAGTTGAGGAATCATATAGTCTGATTTGCCCTGGAAGAAAATGTCTTTGGTAGCTAAATGGAGGAAGGGTTATTAAAGGAAGAAGTAGAAGACAGGGACATTAATTCAGAGGCTATTGAAGTAGTCCTGGTGAGAGGTGATGAGGACCTGAATGAGGGTGATGGTGATATTAGATGAAGATGATGAGGATGAGGATGAGGATGAGGATGATGGTGGTGGTGGTGGTGATGATGATGATGATGATGATGATGATAACTAGAATTTATATAATGCTTTAAAGTCTGAAAATTGTCTCACTTGATTAAAAAAAGGGGGCAGATATAAGAACTATTGTCAGAAATGACAAGAAGGAGAGTCAGGAAGACATGAGTTCAGATCCTATATCAGGCACTAGCTATGTGACCCTTAGCAAATCACCACCCAGTTCTTTACCTGTTGTCTTCCCATTAGAATATAAGCTCCCTGAGAACAGGGACTAGTTTTGTCTTTTATTGTATTACTGCTATTTAGAGCAGTGCTTGACTCTTAACAAATTCTTATTTATTGAGTGACCATAAGCAGATATCTAGGAGGTGATTTGTAATGGAGGACTGGGGTTCTAGAAATACTGTTAGTGAAGATACATAAATTTAGGAATCATTATTAAGACCCTATTCCATAGGATCATAGTTTGGGAGTTGGAAGGGACTTTATAGGACCAATAACACCAACTCTATAATTTCATCCAGAACAAGATTATAACTGAACTGAGGGGTGCTCAGAAGTTCACTAAGAGCAATTGTGGAAAGAAAAGAAAAGGATCCAAGACAGAGTGTTGGCATGTACCCATAGTTCAAATTTATACTGTTCTTCAAAGAATGAGAAGGCACAGCCAGAGTGGTGGGAGGAGAACCAAGACAGAGCACTGTCACAGAATTCAAAGGAGAAGATAATTCCCAGCACAAGGGAGGAGTCAGAAAGTGTCAAAAAATTGCAGAGAGGTCAAGTAAATTGACGACTGAGGAAGGACTTTTTTTTAATTCATCCACCAGGGCATAACTAGTGACCTTGGAGACAGAGTTATCAGGGGGGTCACAAGACCCATTGCAAAAGGATGAGAAATAATTGGGAAGTGAGGAAATATAGACAATGAGAGTAGAGTTTTTTTTTTCTACAAGTTTGTTGGTGAACAGGAAGAGAGATATGAGAGGAGAGGTCCAGAGGATGGCTGGGTCAAGTGAAGCTTTTCTTAAAGATGGGAAGGTGTGGGCATGATTGTCAGCTGCAGGAAAAGAGCCAAGATAGATAAGGGGGTGAGGATGAGAGAAGGGAGGCAAATTCCAGGAGGAAGCAGGAGAGAATGAGATCTAATGCAACAAGAAGGTTGAGCTTGGGAAGGAGAAGAGTTACTTCTTCTTCAGAGACCGGAATAAAGAAGATAACGGGGGCTGACATAAAGAAGTCTGAGATGTGAAGTAGCGGAGAAGGGGGAGCACAAAGGAGATACATGCCTCCACTGAAAGAGAGAGGAGAATGGAAGTTGTGTAGTGGACTTAAGGTAAGAAAGAAAGCTTTGGAATTTGGGGATTATGATAGTCAACAAAGGAAGAATGAAAGGATTGCTAAATGTCATGGGGAGAGGAGGAGGAGGAGGAGAAGGAGGAAGAGGAGGAGGAGATGGAGGAGGAAGAGGACCTGAGTTTAAATTTAGCCTCAGATACTTACTAGCAGTACGGCACTGGGCAAGTCACTTAACCTTCGACTGCCTAGGTTTCCTCAACTACAAAATGGGAATAATAATTATAACATGCATCTCACAGAGTTGTAGTTAGGATCAAATATGATAAAATTTATAAAGCACCTTGCCTGGCACATAGTAGGCATTTAATAAATTAATTTCTCTCTCTATTGCTTACTGCCTGTGTGTCCCTGGTCCAGTCAATTAGCCTTCATAAGCATCAGTTTCTTCATTTGTAAAATGAAAGGATTGGATTTAATGTCTTCTAATGTTCTTTCCAGTTTTAAGTTTATGATCCTTCTCAAGATATAAATTTGAACTCAGGTCTTCCAAACTCCAAGCCCAGAACTTTATCGACTTCCTCACCCCCAGGATACCTCAGGATCATAGCCTTAGAGCAAAGAGACCCCTGAGGCCATCTAATCCAAACTCCTCATTTTACGGAAGAGGAAATCCCTCTGTAAAATCTGGGGGGTTGGGCACAAAAATCTCTCAGGGCTGTCCCAGCTCTGATGTTTTCTCTGATGTTTTGTGCTCTGGTATGCAAGAGGAACCCCTGATACAGAGGAGTGATGTGGTTAGACCCAAACTGCTGCCTCCCCACATTTTCCACATCCTGTATTCATGCAGCTGATTATTGGACCCAAGTAAAGGGCCTATCCTTATTCAGCTCCCTCCTCTTCAATTCTGTCCATCAGTGTGTCAACTTTTTTAGACCCTGATTCAGTCATTCTACCAGTTAAATAGCCCTCCCAGCTTTGTGCACATGACTTCAGTGTCTTCATCCAAGAAGCTGATGGGGATAAGAGATTGGGGTTGGACCTGGGATTTCATCAGGAATGCTTAGAGGGGGAAACTCTTTCCAAATGCAAATTGGCATCTTCACCCCAACTTGGAGTCTTCGATACTTGCTTGGTGTACTGAGAAGTTTAGTGACTTGCTCAGGGTCACTCAATAAGGATGCATCAAAGGCAGGATTTGAAGCCAGGTTTTCCTGGCACAGAGCTCTCTATAGGCTAGCCATGGAGCCTCTCAAGTCATTGATAAGCATTAAATAGAATAAGACCAAGGACAGATCTCTGGGATAATCCACCTTTCTCCAACTTAACAAGGATTCATTCAAACCACGATATGTCAGAACTGGGAGGAAGAAACAGGTCACCTAGTCCAATGCCCTTATTTTATGGACCAGGAAAGTGTTTTGCAAACTTGAAAGTGCTATGAAAATACTCACTGTAGCAATTACTACTTCAGTAATTATTCAGCTTAGCTACAAGGCAAAAAGGAAGATGAATTTACCATTAATTAATGACTGATCTTAATATGTCATCACTCTTTGTCTCATTGTTTTTGAACTTTTCTAACTGGATCATCATGTGGTCTGCAAGGATGTTGTGGGAAACCATCAAAATCCATGTTTCCAACATTCCTTTGATTTGTCAGTTTGGTAATCCCATCAAAAGAGAACATTTAGTTACCGTGGCATGACTTGCTTTTAGCGAACCCATCCTGGCTCCGAGATGATCACCACAACAAGAAGAACTGAAGATGGCCATAGCATTTTTGCCCTAGGAAGTCAGTGGTGAGTGGAGAGAAACTGTTTTCAGTAGACTGGTTAAGAATGGAAGTCTTATTGAAATGATTAGAAGGAGGCAATAGTGTGGAGGGAGAAACAGAGAGTATAGAACATTGTGGGATAGTCAGGCAGTGAAAGGAACAGAGCAATTGAGTCAAGGAGAGAGGAGCCCTGTTAGACTGCAAGAGTATGTTTGGCTTCTGATCATGACCTTCAAAGTGCCCATCTATGGAGGGAATGGGATGTTAGCCCCTCACCAGCACTTCCAGCAGCAAACTTGGTGGATTGTGGGATAAAGGAGTAACAACCTGAATTAGACTGCAGAGGAATAGAGGAAAGGTCATTAGATGGAAGACTAGGACACTGAGATTCCTGTGCCAATTCTGTGACCTGTTCTGTTAACTATGTGACCTGGGACATTATAGAAACATAATTTCCTTGACTGGAAGGGACCTTAAGGGTCATCTAGTCCAAGCCCTTCATTTTGTAGAAAGGCAGTGTGACAAAATGGTTAGTGTGCTGAATCTGGAGTTCAGGGACCTGGGTTCAAATCTTGACTTTGCTGCTTCCCATCTGTGTGACTTTGGGAAAGTCTTTTCATGTACCTGGACCTCAGTTTTCTCTCTGTAAATGGGAGAGGAGGCAGACTAGTTGGCCTCTGAGGCCCTTTCCAGGTCTAGATCTATGGTCCTGTAATCATCTCCAGGCCTCAGTTTCTTCAAATGTAAAATGGGGAGGGAATGGGTTGGACTAGATGACTTCTAACGTCCCTTCCAACTCTGGATTTATGACCTTGTATTCATATACTTGGGCTCAAATAGTGGGAGGTGATCTTGGATGTTAAAATGGCAAAGGTGGGATTCTAACTCATTTTTCTTGACTTGAAATCCAGTAATCTTCCCCTTATACCACACTGCCTCTCTCTGAGTCTTAGCTTCTTCCTCTGGAAAACTGGGTAATAACATTTGCATTGCCACCACCTAAAATTGCTGTTAGGAAAGCATTGTGTTAACCTTAAAGTGTGCATTGAGTAAAGGGGAATTATTATTATTATTATTTCATTTTTACTCTCCCCTCTTTCCAATCATAAATCTTTCTGATGCCATGCTTTCTGCCATTTCTCCTTTGCATAATAAGTTGTAGACTCCTCATGCCAACAATTCACCACTCCATGGCTTTTTAGATAACTGTCAGGGAATTCTCCCTACCTCTTGGGAGAAGCATATCCATAAGTGAGGGTCTGATGACTGTGGGTCAAAGATGGGAGGCCAAACTCAAAGGAAAGAGATCAGTTACCTCTCTAAGGAATCTGCTCTTGCTGATTCAGGTTTCTGGGGTTCAGATTGGGCCTTTGTAACCTTTCAAACCCACTTCAGACAATTAGTAGCATTCTGTGACAACTTAGGATAGATCAGCAAAGCATTTCATGGGAGTGGGAGGGGAAGAGAAAGAAGAGAGACAACTAAGAGAGAAAAGAGGAGTATTTGGAATGCGAGTGGCAAGATTTATTAACAGAGTAAAAAAAAAACAACATTCCCTGTGCAAGGTCAGGAGACAATAGGAAGAACGAAGGCAGTCCTTTTAAACAAAACTTTGTGGTCTCTTATCCAAGGACAGTAAGTAGTTGTTAGATTAATGAATGAAACCATTGGTTTTATCATGTCCTTATGTAGGACTTGGGAACTTTCTAATATTAGGCCACTATGTGGTTAAGAGATCTCTAGTTAGTTCATCAAGATGTGAAATGATTGTTTTTTCCTACTTTTTTCCCATATTCACCACTTTAATTCTTTGAAAATTGTGGCCTTGCAGGGCTCAAAGTTATAAGATGTCCCTGGGAGAACGTGAATGTTACAAAGAAGACTTTTTGGTTGTAGGAGAAGTTAGTGTTTCCCAAAGAAAGCGGAGCTTTCCTTTAATGAAAGCAAGGCATGGACCGCTGTGTATTTCACCAGTATCTATAATTTATCAAGGGTCTTAGAATGACTTCAGCATGTTAGAGGGCTTCCCCATGGAGAATTCACAAGAAAACACAGAAAAGAGTTCCATGGGATGATTGATATTGACAATGATAGAGATAATGGTGATGGTAACGGTAATGAAAATGGGAATGCTAATAGAATTGATGACTGTGCTGATGACAGCAATGGAGAGGATGGTTAGAGTGGCCACAATCATGATAGTGTTGACAAAGATGATGAACCTGAGGGCGGTGTTGACAATGATGGTTATGGTCATTGGAAGGATGGGGATACCTATAATGACAACAGGGAAGATTTATACAATCATGGTGATGTGGATGATTTTGGTGATGGCAGTTATGGAAAATGGGAAAGGTAGTTATGGTGATGAAGATGATAATAACAATGTGATGGTGATTCTGATGATGGCAATATAGTAGTAGTAGTAGTAGTAGTAGTAGTAGTAGTAGTAGTAGTAGTAGTAATAGTAGCAGCAGCAGTAGCAACAGTAGTAGTAGTAGTAGTAATAGTAGTAGTAGTAGTAATAGTAATAGTAGTAGTAGCAGTAGTAGTAGTAGTAGTAGTAGTAGTAGTAGTAGTAGTAAATAACTTTTCTTTCTCTAGTGTTTGATTTAACATTTATAAAACACTTCCCTCATGGCAACCCAAGGGGCTATATTATATGCATATTACTGCAGTGATGATAATGTTGGTGATGATTTATCATAGTGATGACCATAATGATGATAATAGATAACATTTGCACAGTTCTTTAGGAATCACAAAAGGTTTTACCTATCAGGCATGAATGGGTTGCCATTTGCATGTCTGGACCAAGTCCCTGAGCTGAAGAGCTTACAATACCATTGGAATGAGTTCATTGTGAACCTGTGCCCTCTTATCTCTCTCCTTTTCCAGATGAGAAGACTGGGGTGCAGATGAACAAAAGGCCTGATCTAAGACCCACTCCCCTGTTGGTAGCTAAATCAGGAATAAAACTCAAGAGGACTTGCATCTGTTTCTAAGGACCTAACTATGCAACCTTCTCTCCAGATGGTAACTGCTGGGATCTTTGTTTTTAGTGCACTGGAAAAGACTGAACAACATTTCTAAATGATTTTTTCCATTCCTCTCCTTTCCCTAAGTCTACATGACTTAAGTATGATTGGAGGGGGCAGAGGCAAATGATCAAGCCCACTGCACCTTTCCCTTCATTCCTACTCTATTCCTTTGAGTCCCTTCAAAGAAGCAGTGTGGCAGAGTATCTGAACTTTGGAATTGGCATCAGAACCTGGAATCCTGGTTCTGCTACTTACTAGTTGATGACTTGGGCAAATCATTGACCCTCTCTTGGCCTCAGTTTTCCTCTCTGTAAATGAGAGGGTGATCTCTAACACCATTAGATTTTAAATTCTGTGGTCCTAAAAACAGTGTGGAATAGTGGCAAGAGTCTTGGACTTAAAATCAGAGGCTCTAGCTTTGAATGTTGGATCCAACACTTATTAATACAGTTAGATAAGACAGAACTAGGATTTTGAACTCAAAGACTGGAGGTCTTGACTTCAAATCTGCCCCCCAAACACTTACTACCTATGTAACCCTGGGCAAGTCACTTAACCTCTCTATGCCTCAGTTTCCTCATCTATAATATGGGGAAGATGTCAGCACCTACCTCCCAGAATTGGCAAGAGGATAAAATGAGATAGATATTTGTAAAGCACTTTGCAAACCCTAAAGGACTATATAAATATTAATGATTATTATTAGCCCTGTGACCCTTGGCAAGTTAGTTTACATCTCTAAACCTCAGTGTCTTTATTTATAAAATGTGGACTAACACCATAATTCAATTCAGCAAATATTTATTGATATATAATTATATATTTATATATGCATATATTAATATATACAAGGTACATTTTTAGGTTATGGCAATATGAGGTAAAACCAAAGTACATGTGCAGTATAGGATAATTTGAGGGAGCAGGAAGAGTACTCACAAATTGAACATAATATATTATAGTTTCTTTATGTCTGCTATGCACCCTTCCATTCCATCATCCATCCCTTGGGTACCACAACCTGAATTCTTTGGATACTGTGGTACCCAATGCCTTGTAGCCAGAAGGCATCTCCTGAAGAATATTTCTATTACAAAGAAGGGCCATTGCTCCAAGAAAAAGCTTGGGACCATTAAAAGCTTGGTGTAATTTTCTAAAGAGGGCAGGACTGCCATTTATTGAGAGCAAAGGATGGAGAGCTTCATGCTCAGTTGGTCTCCTTGTTAAGCCAAAGAAACAAAAGACACCCCCCAGAATGTTGGTTGAATCACCTGAGGAGGATTGACAGGAAGCCACAAACCAGAGCCACACAGGAAGGTGATAGTGATGGAGGTGTTAGAGCTGTTAGTTTTGATGATAATGGTAGTGATAATAATAGAGGTGACAATGCTCTTGGAGGTGATAATGGTGATGATGAGCATAGTGATAATGAGAATTGTGGAGTGATATTACATTGGGGATATTCTCTCTTGCATTCTCTTTTCCAGGGGCCCCATACTCAACTTCACCCTGTGGGTATGACCACCTGTTCTCTTCCATGGTACCTACCTCTCTTCCTCCTCCTCCTTGTTCTCCCTTGGATCCAAGGAGCCTTGAAAGGTGAGGAAATTCCATAGTTGGAGAACTGGTACAAAATACTGAACTTCATAGGAAAACTGACTTTGCCTTTAGTAGCTCAGTGATCTTGAATCTCCCTTGGGCACAATTATCTCCTGTGTAAAATGAGAGGGTTGAGCTAAATGGTCTTTGGGTTCTTCTTCAGTTCAATGGTTCCATTGTCCAACATCTGCCCTGATCCAGGGAGTGGGAACCCATCTCCCAGTCCCATGTTCCATAACTTAGTTCTGTAAACTGAGCAACCAACTTGTAGGGGAGCATGATCATGTGTGTGCATGCATGTGTGCAAAGCCAAGGTGATTTTAAGAGGCAAATACACTGGAAATATCTTTGGTTCTTAGGGTATGAAGTTGGAAAGGACCTTAGAGGATCTCTAGTTCAACCTTCTCAATTTACAACAAAGGGAACTGAGGCTTAGAGAGATCTGCTATGGAGTCCTATTACTATGGTTACAAAAAAGGGACTCTCTCACTCCAAATTCAAAATCAATCTATGTCCCAAGGGGAAGGGCTGATGATGGGAGTAAGTAAGTGGTAAGGGATAGGAGAATGCTGCTAGGAGGATTTTAAGCCTTGGTCGATAATTGGATTTCTTTCAGACTCTCCTCAACTGTCCTGCTTCTATAACTCAAAAGCCAACATCTCCTGCACCTGGAAGCCAGAACCTACCCTGAGGGTTGAGCAATGCCATCTCTATGGCACGTCTAAACGGCAACAGTAAGTGGCAGTCATTAATGCTTCTCCCGTCGCCTGTGTTGTTGTCTGTGAGGTCCTCCTGCTCGCTCACTAGGAGCTGTTCTCAGGACCACCTTTCCCCTCTTGCCTGCTGTTGGCTAAGGTAGCCCTGAGAGTGATGGGGAAACCATATGGTGAGGTTTATTAAGCTAAGTAAGCTTTTTCTACACACTATAATGTAATGAGCCCAGGAGGTTTATAGCCCAGTAGGCTTCCACTTTAAAAACTTCCAGACAACTAAGAGAGCAGTACCATGAAATCAATAAATCAATCATTAATCAATAAGGACAGGTAGGAGGCACAGTGGATAGAGTGCTGGGCCAGGAGTCAGGAAGACCTGAGTTCAAATCTAACTTCAGACATTTACTAGCTATGTGACCCTGGGCAAGTTACTTAACTTTGTTTGTCTCAGTTTTCTTATCTGTAAAATAAGCTAAAGAAGGAAATGGCAAACCACTTTAGTATATTTGCCAAGAGAACTCCCAAAGAGTTGGACATGACTTAAAATAACTAAACAACCAAAAAATTATTTAGCAACTACTATGTGCCAAGTGCCAGAGGTACAAAAAAAGACAAAAATGAAAAAGCCCCCAAACTTAAGAAGCTTACATTTTATTAGAGGAAATTTCATGCGCAAATATGTGCATTATGTACATTGATTAATCAACAAACATTTACTATGTTCCAGGCACTCTACTAGGCACTAGGGAGTCAGTGACAGACAGTGAAACAGCTCCTCTCTGCAAATTACATTCTATCAGGGGAAGGGACACTACAAAGATAAGCATTATGCAAATCAATTAATCACCAAGCATCTATTAGGCAAGGACTATGTTCCAAGGTGGGTTGTAGGCATTCAAAGACAAAAATGCCCTGCCCTCAATGAGCTTCTATTTAATTGTAACCAAGGAAGAGAGAGGACCAAGAAGGAATAAGAACTCCTTGATGTCACATGTTACATAGAAGAGAGGGAGGAAGAAGACTGAGAAAAGGCCATTGGATTTGGTGATTGTTAATTCACTGGTGTCCTGAGAGAGGACAGTTTGAACAAAATGTTAGAGATAGAATCCAGATCTCAATGGATTGAGGAGTGAATGAATGATGAGGAAGGAGCAGCCATGAGCACCCATGCTTCTTTCTAGGGGTCTGGGAGGAGAAAGCAAGCTTTGGAATTTCTGGGAATAGCAGGATTGAAGAATTTCTTTTTCAGGATAGGAAAGACCTTAACCCATGTATAGACTGAAACTTCCCCGTCCTCCTCCCACTAGCATCATTCTTGCTAATTCTACCCTCTGGGGTCAAGCAGACTATGGCTAATCTCTCTTCCACCTGACAGCCTTTCAAATATTTGAATACAGATTTCATATCTTTCTCCCCACCTCCAAACCCAGGTCACTCACAAGTATTCCCCTCTCCAGAATCAACGTCCTCAGTTCTTTAGCCAATCTTCATAGAGCATAATTTCAAGGCTCTTCAAGATCCTGGGCCCACTTTTCTAGAAGATGAGCATTCTGAGTCCCTTGGATAGGATTCCAAATTGTAGACTATATTTTGGCCTTTCTCATTGGGGATCATGAGCATTACAGACTCTCGGTGACCACATGGCACCTAAAGAGTGCACGGTTATACCCACTAATCCAAAGAACAGAGTAAATATTGTTAAAGTTGTATCAATTAAAGTCAAGAAAGCATTTATTATGCACCTACTATGGGTCAGGCACAAGTTCTGGGGATAGAAAGAAAGGCAAAAAACACAACCTGCCCTCAAGGTGCTCACAGTCTACTGAAGGAAGACAACACGTCAACAACTACATACAAACAAGATATAGACAGATATGGGACAGATTGGAGTGACCCAATTGCTGAACACCCTAAAAGAGATTTTTAATTTTTTTTATTTTCTCCTTAGCAGACCGGTGAACCGAAGCTGTGAGCTTCTCCATGTGGCACCAACACTCTGGACTTGTGACTTGATCTTAGGAGAAATCGATGTGAGTGGCTGGAATCTTCTGAGACAGGGCTGAGAGGATAGAGAGAGTGACATGGAATCCTCAGGCAAGAGGCAGATTTCCTCTATATCTAGACCCATAGCCAGCAGACTTGGCTTCAGATCTGGGTTCTGCCACTTACCATCTATGTGACCTTAGGAAAGTACCAATCTCTATGAGTTTTAGCAGTCTTATTCATAAAATAAGGAGATTGGATTAAATTACCTTTAATGTCCCTTCCTGCTCTAAATCTGTGATTCTTTCAGTCTTAAATCCCTGGTGTCATCTACCATCCCAACCCTCTGAACCTCCTCCTATACCCGTATAAGTCACAATCTCTCCATATTAGGCAGCTGCAATGGGAATAGCCCAATGTTGAATGCCTGAAGGAACCATAGGATTACATGTAGCATTGGAAGGGTCTCAGATGCTGTCCAGCCCAACCTCCTCATTTTACAGATGAGGAAACTGAGGCCCAGGGAAATGAAGGGACTTGAAAGTTATAGAGCAAATGTGTAGCGGCCAAGTAAGGACAGACTACCACTCAGGGATAATCCAGAGTTCCTTTGACCACATCATAGATCCAGAATTAGAAGGAACCTCATAGTTTCTAGCCTAACCTCCTTATTATACAGATGAGGAAACTGAGAACCAGGGAAATAAAAAGACTTGCTCAAAGTCAGGCAGTAAACATTGTCAATGGGATTTGAATGCAATTATAGCTTCAGGTCTGCCACGGGCTTTGGCTGAGTGACCATCCCATTCTGGCCCTTAGTTCCATCATCTTGAAAATGAGATGAGAGGAAATCTTTGAGCTTGAAAATGTTGTGATTCTATAACTCTTGAGCTGGGCCTTGCCATACACAATAGAATTAAATGGCAGAGAGAGAGCAAGGGAGGGTATCATGGGCCTTTGGAGAATCAAGGAAGGAGTGACCTGAGAAACTTTGGGCTTTAATTCTGTTGCCCTGTTCACCTGGGAAATGAAGGGGTCAACTTGATGACCTCTACGGTCCATTCTGACTCTACAGCCCCATGAACCTATGAAGACAAGGTATGAGGGGAGGGGGAGTCTATCTAGACTCTTTATTGTTGATGACCTGGGTCCACTTTCCCCAATCCCCAATCTTTAGGACCACCCACTGCAGCCCTGATCTCTCTTCCTACCAGGGTCAGCCTCTGACAGTTGTTGACGTCCTGGTCATGAAGGTGAGCTGTCTGATTGGGGGACAGAGGATGGTGATGCAAGAGGAATTCAGACCCTTTGAGAAGAGTGAGTGAGGGGATCCTGTTTCAGGATCCAGGATAGGGTGGGGGATATGGACCCAACTTTTTTCCCTTTTCTTGAATGTAAGAAATAAAAGGGAAATAAAATAAGGTTGATAGAAAGTCAACTCCTTTTCTTGGATTTGAACAATAGGAAGAATTCATGGTACCAATGGCAGGCAAGGTATGGGCTTTATCTTCTACACTCTGGTTCTGTGCCTTGCTCTTTCTTGGTTCATACTCCTATTTGGGCCTTAAACTCATCCTCTTGGCCTAGGAATTGAATGTGATTCCAAGGGCCTTCCCAGTTCTGAGGTTCTAGGATTTTTGGAAGGTTTTTAGCCAATGTTTCTCTGTGGTCAGGGTTGAGGTCTACTCAAATATCAGCTCTAAGCTCTGTAAATCCATCCTATGTTTATTTTCCTGCTTCCTAGTTTAATTACTATTTTAGCTTGTCTCATTTGAATTAAGTATGAAGAGAGACCTGCTTATTATACCTGGGCCCTGACAGGGGTGCAGGGATGAGAGGCCAGAAAGCCCAGATGATGGCGGCAGTTGTCCAGACAAAGTGGATGGAACTAGATGGAAGAAAGCAAGTGGGGATAACTGAGTCCCTACTATATTGGAGTTTCCTCCCAGCATCCCCAACTTTTCCTGCCCCTTTCTCCTTCAGTTCGACTGATGGCCCTCAGTGACCTCTGCCTAATCCAGCAAGAAGAACATGCCACCAACGTGTCCTGGGCAGTCCCCTTATGTTCACACTACCTGGAGGATAACCTGGTGTTCGAGGCTAGATATAAGGTTCAGGGAAGCTCCTGGGAGGTGAGTGACTATTGAGGTTTGGGGCTCAGTTGCTCTGTTCTCCCTGACCCCTGGGGGCTACTCCCAACTCCCCTCCCCTGACCTCTACCACCCTGCCAGACACAGCCAGCCCTTCAGAATTCAGGGTCTTTTGGGAAAATCCATACCTGCTAAACCCTCTGTATTGTCCAATCCTATTTCAGTCTATGGCAGGCAAAGGACCACAGGATGCAGAGTTGGAAGGGAAGCTCCTCAGAGAAAATCAAATCTAGGAGTTCTTAATCTGTGATCAAAGGGATCCATGGAGAGATTTCAAGAAGCCTATGAACTTGGATGGGGAAAAATAATCTTTACAGCAATAGAATTGCTTTCCATTGTAATCCTAGTTTTTTATGCATTTAAAACCAGGATTCTGAGAAGGGGTCACTAGGCTTTGGTAGACTGACCAGCCAGGGGATCCAGAACATGCAAAGAAGGTTAAGAATTCATTCTCTAAGACAATACTTCTTTTTTTGGGGGGGGGGCGAGGAAATTGGGTCAAGTGACTTGCCCAGGGTTGCACAACTAGTAAATGTATGGTCTGAGACCAGATTTGAATTCAGGTCCTCTTGACTCCAGGGCCAGTGCTCTATCCACTGCACCACCTAGCTGCCCCTAGGACAGGGCCTCTAAAACTTTTTCTACTCTTAATCCCTTTTATGCTTCTTAGATGTGTGTGTGTGCATGTGCGCATGCATGTGTGTGTGTGTGTGGGGGGTACTTTAGGAGGACCCAGGTACAGAAGATGAGCATTCTGGCTTGGAGTATTATTAGAACTACCCCCCATTCTCCTTTTCCTACTTCTGTTCAGAACCCTTCCTCATATTCCTTAGCCCTCTTGAATGTAAGATATAAAAGGGAAATAAAATAGGGTTGAGAGAAAGTCAACTCCTTTTCTTGGATTTGAACAGTAGGAAGAATTCATGGTACCAATAGCAGGCAAGGTATGGTGACCCAGCCCAGTCTCCTCTCTTCCCTCTGATGGATAGTTTAAAACTGGGGTTCTTAACCTGGAGACCATGAATTTTTTAGAAGTATTTGGATAACTGTATTTCTAGATCATTGATGTCCTTTGTAAGCCTATGTATTTTATTTTATTCATTTAACAGCATGATTCTGAGAAGGGATTTCAGCAGACTGACACCCCAAGAGGTCCAGGACACACACAAAATAGTTAAGAACTCCTATACTAAAAGAATTCTTGCTCCTAGCTGGGAACAGATTAAAGGGGAGGATGGAAGAGTGTGATAACTGGAGAGGTGATTTGGCAGAGTGAAGAGAGGCAGGCAAACCTGGTTTTAGGTCCCACCTCTGATACAATTGGTTATGTGACCTTTGACCTCTCAGTGACTGAGCAATTCCCTTAAGACTAGATGTTGGAGAGGAGATGTCACTCTGCTTTGGTAGAGGGCATTTCTTCATTGGGAAGTTCCTTATACCAATGAAAAACCAACCATCAGAGGCAAATATGACATAGTTGAGAGAGACTTGGCCTTGGGTATTTGGACATAAAAAGACCTGGATTCAAATCCAGCCTCTGACACATACTGGCTGTGGGACCCTGGACATATCCCTTCATTTCCTAGTCCCCTAGCCAATTCTCTGAGGGCTAGAAATGTCCAGGGAAATACTGATCTGTTTTGGTGGAATTGGAATTTCTTATGCCAATGAAATAATCTGTCAGGTCCAAAATGTATTATAAAATATATAATATATAGTAATAATATTACATAATCATAAATAATAATTGTTATTATTAACTGAGGCATATTATTACATTATTGGACAACTTTCATCCTTAGGAAGTTCTTCCTTACATCTAGCCAAAATCTTATTGCCTGTAAATTACTTCAGTCTTTATTTTGCTATCTGGGACCAAGTGAAACATTGACCAGGATCAGGTGTCACCCTTCAGTCCTTTGACTTGAGTCAAACACACTCATGGAAAGGGAGACACCTTAAACTGTTATCATTTAGTGATACTTTGGTATGAATAAGGGATTGGGCACTAGATGCAGAGTGTTGAAGAGAGATCGAAAAAGCATGAGGGTGTGAGGACCACCAGAAGAGAGGCAGTGAAGGGGGAAGAAGCTGAGGGTTGGGGGGTGGGGTGGGGCAGTGTGTCTGGAAGACTTCGTTGTCCTCATCATCTCGCTGCTATTGCCCTGAATCCTGCATATAGAGTTCTGTTGATATAAAGCAGGGCAACAAATGCTAGAAACTCATATAGACCAAATCCCAATAGTCCAAGAGTCTAAAGATCACAGGATTCTAAAAGTTCAAGATTCTATGATTCAAGGATTCTAAGGTTTTAGAAATTCCCTCACTATCCCTAATACAAGACAGTCTCATCTCCTAAGCTTTTCCACAGGCTAGGCTGAACATCTGGAATGTTCATCTCTCTTCCCTCTGTTTCCTTCAAAGCAGTGTTCAAATATGACCTCTTCTAGAGGAGTTCTCCTGCTGCTAGTACTGCCCCTTCCCAACCACCTTGTGTTTAGTTTGTGTGTCTGTGTGTGTCTGCGTGTGCACACAGAGATATATATGTATACATACAGAATATATATATATAGCTACATATTATCTCCTTTATAAAACAGAAACTCCTTAATGTTGAGGATTACTTTATTTGGCATTTTTTGTCATTGTATAGCAACGCCTGGTTGAGCTCAGTTCTGGACACGTGGTAGGTACTTAGTTATTAATTATTGATTAATTCATTGGTTCTCTGCAGAAAGCCACCATGCTGCCTATAAACCAAAACCAGAGGTGGGTCTACATTGAAAAACTCTCTCCTGGCACAAAATATGAGTTCCAGGTCCGAGGCAAACCAGAAATAAAGGGGGCTTCAGCATTCTGGAGTCCCTGGAGCCAGACCCTCATCTTCCAGACAAAACCACAAGGTATCTAAAGAGAAGATCATTTGGAGAAGAAGTCATCACGAGTAGGGATGGGACTGTGATAGATAATCCTGGGAAGGAAGATTTAAGGAGCAAAGTCAGGGAAGAGGACGAAGAGAAATGAGAGGAACAGGAAAGTTGTATGTGGAAAGTGGAGGAGAGAAAAATGAGGAGGAGCAGGGGAAGTTTGCTACTGAGGGGAATGGGGGAGGATTGGGCTGGGTCCCCTCCATGGGCTAAGAGGAATAACTAACCCATTGGCTGGCAAATTCAAAACAAGTTAAACAGACTAAAATGGTGGGCAGACTCTAATGTGAGGAAATACAAAGAATAAATATGAAGTTCCATGTTGGGGTTCAATTTATTGGCGAAGTAAAGGATAGACTGGTCACAACAGTTTCTGTGAAAAAGATCCCGGGTCTTTGGTGGTCTGAAAGTGCTAAATGACTTAACAAACCATTCAAAATTCATCAAGCACCTGCTGTGTACAAGGATCAGTAATAGGTAGGCACTTGGGATACTTCAGTGTTCTCATTAATGTGGCTATTTGCTGTGATGATGCAAATCAGAGTTCTTTTCCATCTGCCTCCTCTGATCACCTCTTTTCCATCCCCCTCCCCAGCTACCATCAATAAATCTTCTACAGCTAATCTGTCCAGGTTTCTAGGAGACTTTGAGTTTTCTTAACATTATATGAATATCAATGGAAGCCTTCAGTGCATGGAATACTAAGATGAAAAGTGAAATAATTCCCACCCTAAAGATATTTCCATTATCCTGAATCTATCCACATGAAGCATCCTTAAAAGCTCTAAATATATTTTCCAGATGTATAAATGCCAGTCAGTCAATAATCATTTGTTAAGTGTGAGGCATCATGCTAAGTGTTGGAGATACAAGGAAAAGAAAGGGATAGTCCCTGCTCTTTAGGAGCATTGTAAGCAAGGCAATTCATCTACATGAGACTCAGTTTCCCTCTCTGTAAAATGTAGATAATCTTTAGCTGCCTCACAGGGTTGAAATGAGGAAAGCAATCTGTCTAAACTGGAGCTATGGGGAAATAATATCCATTGAGTTTGGAGCTGAAAGACCTAATTAAATTCTGATCTTAGTTTGTCACTCACTGACTACCTATGAGACCTTGGACAGCTCATTCCTAATCAACTACTAATTGTCAGTGCCCTCATCTATAAAATGGGGCTAATAAAACAAATCCTATTGATCTCAAAAAGTGCTATATGAGTCTATATTGGGGGCTGGACCTGGGACTGAATGGGATGGGACCTTCCCCACAGTATGTCCCCAGATCCTTGACTCACTTCCATTTTGGTAACTCCTCTAACTTTTTCTCCCCTTTTCAGTGTCCACCTTGAAGTGGCTGATCCACTTAATTATGTGTCTATGTGGCATTGCCAGCATCTTCCTCGTGGTCCTGTTGGTGCCCAAGTGGTACTCCCAGAAATGGTGAGAGATTCTGAACTACCTCCTTGCCTGGATTCCCCTTTCCTTCACCATGACTCATTATTAGGCATCCTCTCTCCTTTCCCCTTCCTAGATCCCTTGAAGCTCCTGGTTGGCTCTTGTCTAAGAGTAGTGAAGAGCCTGCCCTTTCCATCCTTCAGCCCAAGAGTGAATGGGTGCTCTAGGCTTGAGCTGTTGGAGAAAAAGTTGTGGGTAGGAATAAGGAAGCCATGGTACCCCCACATATCTTGGTGTCTCAGACCGAGGGTATATGAACATGTATATACATGTGAGTGTGTAGAATTTCACATGTCCATGTATGTACATACCTGCATGCACATTTGTGTATATCACCTTTACATCTTTACACCACCTTTGGGAAGGTGGATTTTTCACATGCTTTTGCCTGCATTCATGCTTATGTACATGTGTACAGGTGTGCAAGTATATTGTGTTTCTGTGTGGGTACCAATTTACATACATCATGCTTGTATGTTTTATACATTGAAACATGCATGTGTGTTTGCATGCATTGCATATACATAAGATGGTTGTGTTTATTGTATTTGCATGTGTTCTTGTATGTTTGTGGACACATGCTATGTATATCTGTGTATGTCATGGTATATATGCATGGACGTGTTTCCACTCTCAGTTCTGATAACAATTATTTGCTAATTTTAAAAAAGAACTCTGGGAAGGAGGAAGGGTCTCCATATGGGAGAGGGGCATCCTTCATCCTTTTTTTCCCCTTTCTCATCCTCATTTCCTCCCTGGCAGGCTGAAGAAGGTTTTAAAATGTCACATTCCAGACCCTTCCAAATTCTTTTCCTCATTAAGCACAGAGCATGGAGGAGATTTCCAGGTATAGTTGTGTGTGTGTGTGTGTGTGTGTGTGTGTGTGTGTGTGTGTGTGTACATGGATAAGGTGGAAGGGAGTAGGAATTGGGAAGTGGAAGAGGGGAAGGTGAATGGAAGAGAGATTGGCCCCTTGGGGAGAATCCATATTGTTCCCACTCAATAGTGAGAGGAAGAGGAGGAGAGAAGACCGAAGTTGGAAAAATATCACCTTTAGGCATCACATCCTCTTTGTCAGACATTTAGTCATTCAACAAGCATTTATTAAAAGCCAGGTATTTTGTTAGGCAATGGAGATACAGAGAAAGGAAGCACACACACAGAGTCCCTTCTTTCACAGAGTCTACAGTCTAATGACTTGGTGGCCTTGAAGAACTAGGCCCCCTCCCTTCAGGCCCCAAGTCCCTGCCTCAGCCTGCTTCCCACCCTCCTTGGTTGGGGGCTCAACATAAGAAGTTTCTGACATCTGGAGCTGTCCAATAAAGGAAAGGGCTGCCTTGGAAGTGGTAAGCTCTTATTTCTGAAGTATTCAAAAGCAGGGGATGATTGACCTCTCCTCAGGGAATCTGTTGGGAGGACACCATGGAATACATGAGTTAGAAGGTCCTTTCTAGTTCTTGAGACCTCAGATAAAGGGGTTTGGGACTACCCTATGCCCTACATTTTATAGCACAGGGGTCGCAATTTATTCCCGAGGCTTCTGGAGGCCATGTGAGAACAATGACTTTTGCCAGAGAACCAGTCTTGATCCTGCCTTTGTCACTGACTACCTGTGTGGCCTTGGACAAGTCACTTCACTTTTAAAAGGTTTCGCCTCTTCCTTTCAATGTGATAGGTTGGCCTTGGGGGTCCCCTCCCAACTCTAGATCTATGACCCTTTGAGGCTCCTTTGACTAGGATTGAACCCTCTGTGGTCTGCCCACATGGAATAAGTCCTGGCCCAGCAGGTCCTTCCACCCTAATGGAGGCACCAAGAGAAGCTTGGGGATGAGCATCCCATCTTCTCCTAGGCTCATAGAACCTAGACCGGGAAGAAACCTTGGAGATAATCTAGTGTTACCCTCATTTTACAAATGAGCAAGTGGAGACCCAGAGGGGAAGAGACTTGCTCAAGGTCACATAGGTTGTATGTAGCAGAGCCAGGATTCCAATCCAAGGGCAATGATTCAAAATCCAATGTTCTTTCTGCCCCCCCCCCCCCCTTACCACACTGTTTTTCTGCCCTTCTAGAGCACACAAATTGAGAGTCAGGGGCCTGGAGTTCAAATTATGGTTTTGCCACTTTTTTCCTGGGTGACTTTGGGCAAGTGACTTCCCCCCTATGCCTCAGTTTCTCCCTATGTCAAATGATTTGGATTTGATTGAATAAGCTCTAACTTCTCTTCTAGCCCTAAATTTGTGATCCTCTCATATCACTCCCTTGGATTCCAGCCTTGTCATCAAGGCTATGACCACAGGGTTTAGATAGGAAAGGAGCCAGATTGAGGAGCCCCCATTTTATAGATGAGGGAACTGAGGCCCAGAGAGGGGAAGACATCGAAGAGTGTGAGTGGTGCAGAGCGAGTAAGGAACCTACTTGAGATCACATGGGAACTAAGTAGTGTAATTGAGCCCTTTTATCTCTTCACCACATTGTCCTGTCTCTCCCCTTCCTTTTATCTCAGAGCTCCAAGTCAAGCCAAGTCAACAAGCATTTACTAAGGGCTTACTATTTGCCAAGCACTGTGCTAAGCCTTGGAGACACACATAGGTGCAAAAAGAAAGGCAATCCCCACCCTCAAGGAACTTACATTCTAATGAGAGGAGACAATATATACAAAGGACCTGAAAAGGTCAAGGAAAATGAAAGATACCCACTTAGGGGCATGGTAGCAAAGTCCAGAGTATGAAGGGTGGCTGGATTAGGGCCTTCCATGAGGGGTATTGGATTCTCCTCCTCCTCTTCAATTATGGGCCCAATTTATAGTTCATCTGCTGTGTTGTGTGCGTGTGTGTGTGTGTGTGTGTGTGTGTGTGTGTGTGTGTATTCTAAAATACCAATAAGAAATGTAGCAGGGTGCTCACTGAGTGCCATTTTCCAACCCCCTGGGACTGTCCAGCTCTCTACCAAAGGAAGTGGAAAGAGGATAAGTGGGGAAGGAAGGAAGAAAGGAAGGGAGAGAGGGAAGAAGGGAGGAAGGAAGGAAGGAAGGAGGAAGGAAGGAAGGAAGGAAATAGTTAAATACTCACTATGAGCCAAACACTATGCTAGGCATTGGGGCTACAAATACAAAAAAAATAAGACATTCTCTGTCCTCAAGTAATTTGAATAGGCAACAACTCATGTAGGGGAGTGGTGTCCAGGGAGAGGTATTTTGGTCTGAGAGGTCACAGTAAAGGTTAGTGGAGCCATAGGATATGTAACTGATACAATCTTTCCAGGAATGATGGTGTTGATTTGATTAGTGCTCCCAGTAATCAGGGGCAGGGCAGGAGGAATAGTGGGAGGGGTACACTGCTGGCACAATGCCAGGAATATGGCCAGAGAGTACAGTGTGATGGGTCTGGGACCCACTAGATATGCTGAATTCTCACCAACCAGAAGCAAAACAAACAAACAAAAAACCCTCCAAGGGTGAACTGTGCCCTGGGAATGGGAGAAAGAATCATAGTCATGCTCAGGGTAACACAGCTAGTAACTAACTGTCTCGAGTGTGTCTCGAGATACTGTGAGTAATGATGTGTTATTTTGTATTATTACCCTTTCCCCCTCTGGCAGAAGTGGCTTTCTTCTCCTTTTCCCATCGCCTCCTTCACCACCAGCATTTTGGCCCCAGAAATCTCTCCACTGGAGGTGATGCAGAAGGAAGACCCAAACTTGGGCTTGTTGCTCTCCAAGGAGCTGGTTCCAGCCTACAGATCCCCAGAGACCAGTGGTCACTCTCTCTCCAGCTGCTTCACCAACCAGGGTTACTTTTTCTTCCACCTTCCTGATGCTCTGGAGGTTGAGTCCTGCCAGGTATATTTCACCTATTCGCCTTTCACTGAGGAAGAGGAAGAGAACAGAGAGGAAGGGGAGCAGGGCTCCCTGGTGCCCCAGCTGCCTCCTGGAGGGCCTGAGGATGACTCATACTGCACATTTCCACCTGGAGATGACATGATCCTCTTCTCCCCCAGGGTCTTCCAGGGCCCTGGGAATAACCTGGGACCCCAAAGCATCTCTTTCTCAGGAAAGGAGTCCAAGAAGGAGACTTCACCTCCTGAAGAGGACACAGCTGCTACCACATCCTGTGACCCCAGTTTCTCAAGATCCCAGAATTCTTTGGATGCAAGGCCTGAATCAACCCAGGATGGGAGCCTTCCTTTCGGCACTGGATTGGGGCCTGCTTCTCCCTTTCCCTGGAATGTTCCCCCAACAACAGACCAGACTCATACTGTCTCTTCTTCCTACCCAGTCCTGAACACTGGTGCCTACCTCTCGCTGGGAGAACTTCAGAACCAATACCACACCCATTCAGCCTAAGCAGAAAGACTTCTCCAAGAGAGGATAGAGAGGAAAGGCATGGAAGATCCCCAAAGTTCAGGATAACTCCTGGACAATGGAGCAAAAAGAGCTATTTACAAGCAAAAAACTGGATTTGGCTTCAGAGGGATAAGCTTCACACCTTGACTTTATTCCTTACAACCTCCATGACTTTGAACAAATCACTCTAACTTTGTGAGCATCAGTTTTCTCATCTGTAAAAATGAAGACCATATGAAGCAATAGCAATAATAGACTTGATAAAAAAAAAAAAGGTAAGCTTGGAAATTATATTACTCTGAGAGATATAATGAATTACTTTCAATATTCACTTATATTCACCGAATGGTATATAATCTAAATACTTAAAGGAAAAGTTAAAGAAGTTATAGGGAGAAAGAAAGTCAAATTATAATACTGGGGGATATCTCAATGAAACCCTTTCTGACATAAAACCCCTCCAAAAAAAAGTAAAAAAAAGAAGATAAGGCCCTTGAGTAGAATTTCTAAGTTAGATATGACAGCTCTCTAGTGATTATTAAAGGGGAATAGAAAGGAATATACATATTCTAATATGTATATGGAACATTTACAGAAATAGACCATGTATCAGGTCATTTTTTATGACCTCAAAAATATAGAAAATCAGAAATATTAATTATATCCTTTACTGATTAAAATGCAATAAAAATTATATTCCATAAAAGACTATTAAAGAAATGATTAAATGTTACTGGGAATGAAATAATTTAATCCTAGGGAATTAGCGTGTCAAAGAGCAAATCATTGAAACAATAAAATAATGACACTCAGGAGACACATACCAAAATTTGGAGTAGGCAGCCAAAGCAGTCCTTAGGGGAAAACTTCTATCTTCAAATATTTTCTCAACAAAAGAGAAACAGAAGAAATCAAACTGGGCATACAACTAAAAATATTAAAAAATCAACAAAATTTAAAAACTCAATTAAACACCAAAATAAAAATTCTGAAAATCAAAGAAGTCATTAACACAGGTGGAAGCAAAAACAGGAATAAATTTATAAGAACCAAAAAAATAGAGAAACTATTGGCTAATTTGATTTTTAAAAAAAGAAAGTGAAAAATCAAAAAATCAAATCATTTTAAAAATATTTTATTCATAAAAATTGAATTATAAATTCAATAGTTCACAACAAATGAAGGTGAAATAAAGAAAGTTATTAGAAACTATTTTGCCTAAATATATGTAAACAAAACTGACAACCTAAATAAAATAGATGGATATTAGCAAAAATGTAAAATGCCCAGTTTGATCAAACAAGAAATAGAAAATTTAAATAGCCCAGTCTTTGAAAAGGAAATTGAACAAGCCATAAATGAACTCCCTAGGGAAAATAACCTTGAGAACCAGGTGAATTTACAAATGAATTCTATCAAACATCTAAAGAACAATTAATTCCAAAATTATATTAATGATTTGCAAAAAAAAAAGAGGAAAAGAAAGAATCCTTCCAAAGTCCTTCTGTAATATAAATATAGTCTTGATACTTAAACCATTAAGAGTCAGAATTAGGCGCTTTAGAAATCAAAGAAAATTAGACAATTACATCCCTAATGAAGATTGACACGATTTTAAAAAATAAAATTTTAGTAAAGAAGTTCCAAAAACACATCAAAAAAATTATACACTATGACCAGGTCATATTTATGCTGATGATGCAAAGTTAATTCAATATTAGGAAAATTATAAACATAATAAACCACAGCAATGGCAAAAAGAGCAAAAACAATGGTTATATCAATGTATGTAGAAAAAAGCTTTTGAAAAAATTGCATGCTCATTTCTGGAACAATAAAAGCAAATAGCAGTAAATTGACCTTTCCTTAAAATGGTAAGTAATATCTATCTAAAACCAAGAGTCAACATTATATATAATGGGGATAACCTGGAGTCTATTTCAGTAAGATTGTAGGTAGAGAGTGTCCATCATTACCACTCCTATTTGATACAGTGCAGAAAATACTACCAAGCAATAAGACAAGAAACATAAGGTGAAGGAATAAGTGTAGGCAAAAAAAGAAACACAGTTATCTTTTTTTGCAGATGGTATAGTAGTTTATTTAGAAAACCCCAAATATTCAACTAAAAAATAATTGAAACAATAACTTCAGCAAAGTTGCAGGATATAAAATAAATCCATACAAATCATCAGTGTTTATGTATATTAGTAACAAGATCTAGCAGAAAGAGAGAGAAATTCCATTTTAAAATAACTATGGAATATATGAGTTTACTTGCTAAGATATACACAGGAGCTATATTTATACAACTACAAAACACTTTTTGGAACTAATAAGAAGCCTAAATAATTGAAGGAATATTAATTGTTCATTGGTAGCTTAAATTAATAGAATAAGGATAATACTACCTAAATTAATTGACTTCTTCTGTGCCATACCAATCAAGCTACCAAAAGATTACTTTATTGAGCTAGAAAAATTATAACAGAATTCAGAAACAATGGGAAAAAAAGTATAAAGAAAGAGGGTCTGGCAGAACCAGATCTCAAACCAGATATTTAAAAGTATTGGTTAAAAAGTAGAGAAGTCAATCAGTCAACTAGAATTAATAACTAGTATTTCCATAATACTCTAAGGTTTGCAAAACACTTTATAAATATTATCTCATTTGATCCTCACAACAATCCTATAAGGTAGGTGGTATTACTATCTTCATTTTACAGATGAAAAAACTAAGGTTAAGTGATTTGCCCAGAGTCATACAGTTAGTAAGCAACTGAGTCTGGGCTTGGCCTGAGTGAGGTCTTCCTGACTCCCCCTCCAATGTTCTAACCATTGCACCACATAAATACAAATTAAATCAACTCTGGGATTCTGAGATTCCACCTCATACCCATCAGTTTTGCAAAGTTGACAGAAAGAAAAATAAAACCATTGGAGGGGGTGCATGAAAAACCAACACATTAATCACTGCTGCTGGAGCTATGAATTAGTACCACTATTCTGGAATGCAGTTTGGAATTATGCTGCCCAACATCACTAAAACAAGCCTACATTTTGACCCATGAATGTCCAGATGAAATGAAAAATAGATCTGTATTTCTTTTTTGCCTGAAAAAAATGGGAGCTGTTTTCTTAGCAGCAAAAAAACAAAACAAAACAAAACAAAACTACACAAACACAAAAAATGGGAAAACAAAAATGTGCCTACCTACTGGGGATGAACTAAACAAATTATAGTGTATAAATTTAATGGAATTCTATTACGCTAGAAGAAATGACAAAATGGACAGTTTCAGAGGAGACTGGAAAGCTCTGCATGAACTGATGCACAGTAAAGTCAGCAGAACCAGGAGACTAATTTGCAGTACAACGAAGACTTAACTGAAAGACTTAAGAACTCTGATCAATGCAGTGTTCAACCATGATTCCAGAGGATCAATAATGAAGAACACTGCCTGTCTCCTGATAGAGAAGTGCGGGGCTAAGGATACAAAATAAACAATATTTTTTTGGACTTGAGCAATGTGAGCATTTGTTTTGCTTGGCTATGCATACTTGTCACAGGGATTTTGTTTTTCCTATTTTTTTTCCCCGGGATGGGATGTGGGAGGAAAGGAGAATAAATGTTTATTCATTGAAAAAAAAAAGTAACATTTAAATTTTTTTTTAAAGGAGTGAGTTGGATTAGATCGCTTGTCGGGGCCCTTTTAATTCTAAGTACTACAGTTGAAATGACAAGAAGTCAGGAAAACCCTGACCCTATCTTTCCTAGTCTCTATCTCCTACTATCCCTGAGACTATTTCTAGGCAGGGTAAGCTGAGGCCTAATTGGTGTAAGGTATCATCAGGCTGCAACTTTCAGAGGGACACAGGGTCTTCTGTTTCCTCTGTTTTCTGGCTAGATACTTGAGCCAGCCCCAAGGGGCCCCAAGAGAGAGTGACTTTGCTTATCTGGGTCTTAAGAGCCTCATCTGTAAAAGGCAAGCTTAGGTCCCTTTACTTATCATCTGCCAACTGGGGCTGGGAGAATGAGGGCCTAGCCCCCAACAGGTGGAAAGTGTGGAGAAAGCCTGAGCTTAGGGCCCTGGAAGGCAGAGCTGGATTATGCATCCAGGGAGGGAGGATGATGGATTCCAGGTGGAGAGAGGGCAAACAGATGGAAGGAGTGAGGGAAATGAAAGGTGAGATTGGGAAAGCAAAGGGATGGGATACATATGGTGGGTTTCCTCGGGGGGAGGGGGGGGACCACAGGCCAGGTGGGAAGTAGAACTGGGCTGGGTTGCAAGGCAGAGGAATGGAGCCTGTCTGGAGACAGAACTGTAACCGAGCCCCTGCGTAAAGGGGCTATGCCAAGGTTTGCCAGCTGGAGGGGGACAGAGAGAACAAGAAAGATGAAGACCAGTAAGACACCCAAACTCTAAATCTGAGGATGATGGATGGATGGTACTCTCTCAATTCCTTCTGATCCATCCTTGCCTGAGCAGCACATAAATCTCTGAAGCCCCTAGACCACTCCTTGCTCTGCCAAACCTCTTCTTCCCATTTGCAATATTCCCCACTTTCAAGATAGTGTCAGGGGAAAAGCTCCAGGCTAGTAGCCAAAAGGCCTGGGTTCTGGCAATGTGGTGTAGTGGGTAGATCACTAATGAGATTTGGAGTCAAGAACACTTGGGTTTGAATTCTGCCTCAGATGCTTGCTCATTTGTTAGAGAATGGCTTCGCTTATCTGGGTCTTAAGAGCCTCATCTCTAAAAGGTAGGAGTAGGTCCCTTTACTTATCATCTGCCAATGACTCTGTATCCTTTTGTGCAAAACACTTGACCTTCCTGGGCCTTGGTTTCCCCACCTGTAAAATGAAGGGTTGGGATGGGATGGGTTCTTGCTCAAGAATTCTGGACCTCCAGGAAGAACACTCTCTGAGTTCCTGATCCAGAGTCATAGACTGTGACCTTAGAGCCCATCCAATGAGGCTAACTGTCACATTTCATAGATGAAGAAATGATTGGAATACTCACAAGGTCAGCAGTGAATATCATGAGACCCAGCACGGGAAAGTTCTCTGAACTGTAGAAAGGACTGGAACCCCAGAGGGGATCCTAGCTGTGTAGACTACAGATTTCCTAACCTACAACTCAACCCTCCTTGAGGGAAGCCTGGAGTTTTCTCTTCTCAAATGAAAGGGGTCTATGTGATCAATATGGGGTTTCCAGAAAAGGTTGCCAAGAAGACATTCAGATCCAATGGCAAAAGTCATGGGCTGTGGGGAAAAAATTCAGTGGATCTGGAGTCAGAGA